TATAGTGAAAATACATTGTTTCTTTAAAAATCTTCTTCTCTGCTCCCGGGTATTGGACATTTGCGGAATAGCGTACAGTGAACAACAGACTTCAGACTTCGGACTTTAAAAAAGGGGGAACATCTCAAAGTGTAGAATTTATAAATTATCTAAAGTTTACGTTGGAATTAATAATGCAATGGTATTTGATATTATGGTTATCAATATACAACATAGTTCTGTGACATTTATAAATAGGAAATGAGGAACACTTAGATTACTTTAATGTTTCCGTCAGTCTCTTTGGAATCGGAACTCGCATCAAAAATGTATTTTCCTTTTCTCTCTTATTTACATCTTCATTTAATTATTCTTTATACGAATTAAATATTTGACTTTCAAGATTTTTCAGTTTTAAAAATTGTTTTATATATGCCTGTTTTAACACACACACACCCTTCCAAAAAAGAGAAAGGGATGTGCCCTAATTTATATCGAATTTGAAATTAATAAAGAGTGATGTACATTTGACTTTGCTGGAAACATGATGCAGATTCCTGATCTAATCAATTTTCAATTCAATTACCTGGTTCAATCCATTTCAATAAGCAAGGTTTATATACAGACATAGTATCAGAACTCAAATTCTAATCTGGCTTAAAAAAATTAAGGTACAGTACGTTAATTAAAAAGCCAGTTGATCCCACCCTCCCACAAGCACACATTTTGGTACAGTACTTGCATGTATAGCTAGGCAGTGAAACTATCTTAACAGGCAAATGTATCTATACATGGAAATTACACCCTCTTCCGTACATACACGCCCCTCCCTGGCGATGGAATTTTCGAGTTTAGATTATTCTTCTTTTTCTGTTTGTCAAACATTTTTTCAGTAAAGTTGTAACATTTTTTTTTATCTTTGAGAGACAGCTTTTATTAATTGTTATTAAACTTGGTTTCTAAATTGTCAACTGTATTTAAAATAGGCTAATTTAGTATAACAGTAAAATATCAAATTTAAGTTTTGACAAAATTTGTGTTTTCTACTCCGTTCATTTTCCAACGACAAATGGTCCAGCAAATGGGAATTGAAAGGTATAATGCAAGTAATATATGACCCAAATTTGTGCATGTATTATATTGATCGGAAGTTGTACCTTAAGTTGGTAGATTAGAAACAAATTAAAAGTAAAGTTGAAATATAACGTCTGTACAATTCATTTTCGGAGATTGTTGTTGTTTGTAGTTCATATTTGATACTTTTCAAAATAATAATGCATACTAAATTATGAGTTATTTCGAGACAGTTCGATGTTCACAAATTAATTTCTTTGCAAACTTTCTAATTAGACCAATCAAAATACAATTTTCAAAATTCTTCGATTTAAATTTTTCATAGCTATCAGAGGCCTATACATTTTCAGATGATTTGTTATAAATTCATATTTTTTAGTTTTTTTAAACTGCTCCCTTAGAAAAGTCCGCCTTTAAATGTCTGAAGTCCGAAGTCCGCTGTTTGCTGTACGCTATTTCGCAAATGTCCATTAAACCAATGAACTATGTACATGTACACAGTTATATTGAGGAAGAAAGCCTCTTCCAAAACTGTGTATTTCATGGCCCATGGGTCAGGGGTTCTGGTGTTAGGGTGGGGCTCTAATGATTATATATAGTGAAAATGCATGAATTCTTTGAAATTCTTTTCCATTGCTCCTAGGTATTATGCAATGATCTTAGTACATATATTTATGATGAAGAAAGGTGCAACTAGCAAAATGATTCATTTCATGTTCTCTGGGTCAGGGGTATCAGGAGATGGGGGGTTAACGTTACATAGTCTGACGATAAATAAATGCTTTGAAATCTGCTCTGTGATATTAATCAACCATTTATGATGAAATAAAATTTATGATTAAATTTCCAAAATTTTGAAATATGTGGCCCCAGTGGTTCCTGTGGAGTGGGGTGCACGACTGGTTTTTAAAGTGAAAATGCATTTTCTCTTTCTTACTCTGATCTAACTTTGGGTATTAAGTAACTAGAGTAAGCATTGTAAGTGTATAATTATGATAAGCAACGGTGCCTCTTTCAAAATTGTGAATTTCATGGCATCTGGTTTAAAACACGAACCAAATTAAATTTTTTGAAAGTTGTTTCATGATACTCAGGTGACCTATAAGGCCCGGGGACCTCTAGTTAGATGTAAACAACATTTCGTGTCATCGAGTGCAAGTGCTTGGCTGAAGCCAAATGCAGCGAAATGGCACATTAAAAAGAGAATTATTTTAAAGACATGCTATTTTATTTACGAGAAAATCACTAACTATTTTCTATTTAAACATGAAAATATTGCCGTTTATTACAAATTCTTGCAGATATCAGAAAAAAATCATTTTGAGCTCTTTTTCCTTGTATGGATCAATCAGGGCGGAGCAACTGTCATGACGCCAGACCTCATTATGACCCCATTGCCATATTTTTTCATGTGTTGCCTTAACTGTACTGCGTTTTCTTTTTATTGAGGGGAGGGGATTGAGTCCTTAAGCAAATATCGCCTGACTTTTCAGATCAAATGATGCAAAAATCTTTTTGGAGAAAAAAGTTCTTTTTATACATTACAGATTTCTTTGCTGTTGTTTTGCTAAAAATGTTCGTGCAAAATCATATTTCTATAACTTAAATACTTATTTTTCAATTCGAGTCAGATTTAAATTCAATTTAGAAGTCCCTATTTCCTCTACTTTTCTTTAGTATCATGTGAATTGAATTTTGAGCCGGAAAACTGATTGTTATCTTTATACATGTCATTCCTCTTACATGTATAAAGAAAAGACAAAAAGTAAATTTCACAACTATATTCCGGAATAAAGATTGAAAAATCCCTTTCTACCGATTTTGCATAGTAAAATGAATTTGGCATTGTGGTAAGATTTTTTCCGGGGAAAGAGGTAAACGATTTGGAAAAATATCAGACATTCATTTACATTATTTTATTTTTCAGGCTTTGTATTGATTTTCATACATTTTATAATATTTCACTCTGGTTTTTGATTGATTTCCATTTGCACTTTATGACAGAAAATGAGAGATAAAAAAGAAGGCAATGTTTCCGTAAGATGGGACTGTAAAACCGAAGACGAAATCATTCCATTAGAAGAATTGAAAATATTTGACAACGCTCCAATAGGTAAACAATTTATGCATGGTTTTCAAGGACATAAACATGACAGTTATGATACTATATCTAAATTTTGAATATGGTCGGGCGACTTTTTGTGCTTGTCTGCTCATGTCGTCATGATGAAAGAATGTCAGTACATCATTATCTACTAAACTATTTGAGTAATTGCTATGTCATCAAAGAAACATCTTATCCCAAATAATGAAGGCTATACATGATTTTAATTGTTGATACAATGGGGGATATCGGGGGAGGGGATGGGTTAGCTTAATACCCCCAAATACCTGTGTGAGTAACGATTTACAATGCTGTTATCTACAGATTTTAATCGCTACTTTGCTTTCCCTGTCTAAACACGAGAATTCATGACTCAGATTTCTGGCCAAATTATTCGAACATTCGCTGTTTATAAAGCGTAAACTGGCCCAAACCTGGTTATACTTGAATATTTTGGACATGAATTAGAGCCATACTTATAATTTAATTTTAAAATCATTAATCAATTGTGAAATTCCATTGCTTCTCTTAAGTTCTAATTTGCCGCTCAATGATACAACCGTAGTAAGTGATGGGAAGGGAGGGGATGTAGTAATTGATACATGGACCATATGATGTTTGTTTACACGTGGTAAAATTCAGTTACTGTTTGAAACTAAAGCTATATTATTTAATTTACAATTTTCCATGAATCAAGCAGACTGGTGTAAGAGGTTTGCATGGATACAGGTTATTCAGCTAATCCTTGTCGTGATACGGGAAATATTTGGCAACTCTGTCGTCAATTCATTGTGAGTGTATAAATAATGGACGCACAATTAGTATATGGAACACGTTAGTCAACATTTTACTCTAAAATGAATTGTGTTTGCTGACAAGGTCACTGTATTTTATAGAATTCAATAGAATTTACGAAGTGGAGACTTTAAACAAGGCTGCTGATATCCTTGTTTGATCACCGTATTTGTCAATAATTCACCTTGTATTAGAAACGTAGGATATGCTCTTTCGTATCGAATCAACTGAAATATATAAACTCCGTGTGCAGGAGAGGAAGGTATATTGCTGCATAAGTAAGAGAAGTTGCCGATAGAAAACTTAAAGTCATCATGTTTATCATAGAGCGTGTCTGTTAGATTACCATTGACGTCTTTACAAGTAAAATATCCAAGTATGTAACAGATTTAATTTGTCAGACTCTGTGATGTCTTTTATCTCAAGCTTACCAGGATTATATCGTGTTGACATCAGAATGGAAATTACAAATGTTAATTGACAATACGTCGACGGTACATCTAAATGTCGAGTTGAAGACCACAGCAAGTGTTTTCTTCTTCTCGCATATAAGTTTTGCACAAATTCGTCTTCATATGAATACAGAAATAGATCTGCTAACAACGGGGGACAATTGGGGGTGCAATTGGTACCCATGGGAATTCCAATAATTATTTTTTATGAAATGCTTATAAACTCAGAAAAAAATGCATGAAGATATGGTCAGAAAAATCAAGCATTTGTGTGTTATATTTTTCATATAAGAGTATAGGCCGAAAAGGTGAACGTTAAAATGATTATAATAACGCACATGCATCTGAACTGCTACAGTTCTGATAAGCTTTTGCTCAGTTTGCTATATGTGCATTGCACTTCATGTACCCCCTTACACACCGATCACGTATGTTACCATTATAGAGGAATTTTGCCTCATAAAAAATATCATAGGGAATATGGATCTCAAAACTGAGGACCCTTTTGCGAAGATCTGTAACAAAAAAAAATTCGCTTACTAAGTGAGTTTAGTGATTTTTTGTTTCAGTTTATGAATTCTTCGGTATAATTGTAGGAATAAGGCACCCAGTAACCTGTACTTCCTGCGACGATGGGGAACTGATCAAAGGAATCAGATGGAAATGCAGTGAATGTGAAAAAAATGATCTCTGTACAAAGTGTTACATGGCAGATTATGATGATTTGGAACATCCATATGAACGCAAAGAGAAACCGAATCCACATACTCAAGGACAGTATGTACTGATATTTCAAAGAAAATTTACACTTCCTCATGTGGTCTAATTAAAATAGATATCTTCTAAAAGTGCAAAAATGCTGTAATTAAAATCATCACTTGGTATTTACGTTTCCCAAAGTCAGAAGAGTTCCATTATTCTACGAATTAATGTGTTTATGGTAAAACACATCGTAGCGAAATTTAAATCTAGAGAACTATGACCAACCTTTAGGTTTTATGCATTCTTTGGACTGATGTTTCGTGCCCTACAATTTATAGTACATGCATGTCAATATATACTGAAAGGAAAAAAGAAACGCTGGGTAAACTTAAGGTGAAATAATTTTATTTTTCCTCATGTATACCAAGCAAATTTGTGTAACTATAGGAGTTATTTAATATATCACATGGCAAAATATTAGAAATTTACAATGAGATTAAAATATGAGATTCTCATCACATAACAAAAAGGACAGTCTTGTTCTTTTTGATAGGAACTTGCATGAAACTCATAAGGGAAAGAGGTTGTAAAAGCACGATCAATTTTTATTTTTTTTATTTTTTTTTTTAATATTTCGTATGCCCTTAATTTGCAGCAATAGCAGCAACGCAGCGGCGTCTCTAGATCCTTATAAGGTTTAGTATTTTAGGCAAGGTAATCTGGTTACACTCCAGGGCAAAGTTCAGCTCCGCTAGGTTGATGACATTATGTCGTTGTCTTTAGGTAGGACAAATCATCCAATTCTATTTAACCCATTTCTTAAAAAGTACTGGAGGAAAAAAGAATAATATTACAATATTGACCATAATGAATGATCCCTGTAAGAAAAATAATAAGTTTTGGCTCGTTTGCATCATATTTTGTAAAAAAAAAAAAAAAAAAATCAGAGAATCCTAAATATTTATCACTTGGGGGCTTACATTATGGAATGTGTTTACGCTATCTGAGTGCAATAAACAAGCAGTTAACAGTCTGTTGTAAAATACAGTGTGAGTTTTGTTTCATAAATAGGAGAGAGCTAATATTTGGAAAGATATATAAGGAGTCTCCATTTTTTTATGTGCCACAAAGGTCAAGGTTCTCTCAAGAGGTCAAAAGTCAAGCATTGTGACGCCATCTACTGAATCTTTTAGTTTTTTTGAAATTGAATGGCCAAAATATCTTAAACCACTGTTTCAATTTTTTTTTTTTATTTTACACATTTTATTCTAGGACCCGTTTGAATCATTCTGTAATTTTTTGTAAAAATTTAATCATACATTTTCTCTTAAGAAAACTTAAACTGTCGAATATTTACATGTGAATTTTCAATTCCAGCGCTATGTATGTTCTATTTTTACCTAATATTTTACTCAAATTTTTCAGTATCAATATGACCTACTAATTTAAAGTAACAAAAAGGTTATCTTTGTCAGTAGTATTACACAAATTTGCAATTGACCAATTGATAATTCTAAAATGAGGCTCACTCTCAAGTCAAATGTCTGATTTCACAATATACTTACAGAGCACTGAGACGCTATATTTCAAACTATGTGGGAAAAAAATGTGTGATTGAATTTCTTTCATATCATATACATAAATAGCGATTTTGTATCCTAGAAGTTTCAGAAAAATTGAAGTTGAATTCTGATGGAGTACTTCATACCTGTGTGTGTGGTGTACGGACGGGTGTTTTCTCGCTGGAAAATGTTTGTATTTTCTGGACGAAGGCAAGGAACAATAACAGAAATGAAAACTCGTCACTGTATCTCTGAGAATTTAATGCTTTATTAATTTGCAAGGTCAATTTTACCCCGATCGCTTATTCCAACCCACACCATTTCACATCCGCCACCGTAACGGTCACGTTGGATGATGTTTTCGCGGTCATATCTCTGATTTCGACGACTGCAAACTCGAACTCTGCAAAGTCGACGTTAAAAAGTTACTCATCTGTAAACAATACTTCATTCCACTGTCGTTGAATCCAGCTACGATGAGTGTTGGTTCATGCCAGACGGAATTGTCGATGACATTGAGTAAGTGGAACTGCTTTGAGAGAACTTTGAATTCGACGATTTGCTGAACCTAGCCTGTTTCTTTCACTTTTCCGCAACTTAAATTTTATTGTGAATGTAATGATTATGATATCCTAGGCTATTAATAGCAGTTTTGTGATAGTCAGATGGCAGAATAAATAGCATTTAAATGTGATTCATCTAAAGAAAGTCTTGACTAACACTGACTACATTTGGCCGGAGGTAAACACTCCGAAAAATTAATCAAATGGCGCGCGCATATCCATATGCCAGTGAGACGAACACCAGGGTAAAGTTGACCAGCACAATAATCCAAATTGTCCAATCGGTTTGTTTAAGTTTTATTGTGAATGTAATGATTATGATATCATAGTCTATTAATAGCAGTTTTGTGATAGTCAGGTGACAGAATAAATAGCATTATTTTAACGTGGCTCTTTTATGCGTCAACGTCATCGTCAGGGTTGATTAGAAACCATTCAAGGCCATGTCTGACGACGGTTAAGACGTTCTATGGGGAGAATGTACAGGCGAATGCACAACAAGCTGTTGCTGCTTTTGTCTTTACTTAGACAACATAAAAAAGGCCCCTAAGGAGCGTCCGTCAATTGATACAAGATTGCAGGACATGAATATCATCTATAAATACTAAAAATCACTGTGTAGACTTCAGTGAATAAAATGATACAAGACAATAGTTGACAAACTTGTCGACAACAAGTTGCGCGTGTTTTGTGCTCTTTAGCACTTTTCCGAATCCTTATGTGATGTAATTCAATTCACGATTGCGTAATTCTGAACATTAGTTTAGTGCATAGAAACCAAGAGTCCCATCTGACCAGTTTTCATATTTATTTTTTGTCATTCAGTTTCCCAGCGTTTCATTTTCCTTTTAGTATGTTTGATAAGATATTTCAAAATATATTTAAAATATTTCAAAATTAAAATATGAAATGGAATGCAAAACAGTGGTCACTTTAACCCTAATGGAATTTTGAAATAAACGTTTGAAATAATAAATACGTTCATGTAACAAGTCATTGTGACTGACCTTTTGAAAGGGTCGATTTCCTTCTCTTGAAAATATCCATTAGCTACATAAAAAGGGATCCCGAACTTTGTAATAAAAATAAATAAGTTAAAGTTTCACTTAATATAAATATTGATAAAGCTTACCCCCCACCCCCCTCATCTCCGTATAGGATACTCTGTTAACGGGTATTTGAACCTTATGTATCTTGCACATTCTTCAGCATATTTGATGGCTGAAACTTTGCACAGTTTCTGGCTGGAAAGTGTCACTTTGCAACAACAAAATTTTTAATGTCTGAAGTTATTTTTATTAAAAGAAATTTAAAATTTGACTTCTAGATTTTTTTTTCATTGTTTTTCTTATACAGAAACCCGACACACAATGATGTATTTAGAAGACAAAATGCCAAGAAACAGATGGCAGTGGGAATTTTGCCAGGATCTAAGGTTGTTTCTCGAAAAGGTACCGGAATATCCCTCCTTTAACACTTACGATTGAATGCAAAAGGAATAAATTTAAAGTTTTAACCTAAATTTACTCCGAATCTGTATAAAGGGCACAGGATGAAAAGCCAGGTTTCCCAAATTTGGAAACCCGATGGAAACTTATGGGAATCGTGACATCAGTAGTTTCCATATAGTTTCCATTTTATGGAAACCACATAGTGGTTTCCACATAGATTCCCGACATGGAAACAATCAACCTGTGGTTTCCCGTAAGTTTCCCAAGATAGGAAACCATGGAAACATACCCAGGTGGTTTCCACATAGATTCCCGACATGGAAACAATCAACCTGTGGTTTCCCGTAAGTTTCCCAAGATAGGAAACCATGGAAACATACCCCGGTGGTTTCCATGTAGATTCCCGATATGGAAACAATCAACCTGTGGTTTCCCGTAAGTTTCCCAAGATAGGAAACCATGTAAACATGCCTCAGTGGTTTCCATACATTTTCCCGACATGGAAGCCACCAATGTGTAGTTTTCCCCATGTTTCCCAGGCAGGGAAACTTTGAAAGTATATCTCAATGCTAACCACCTACCTTTTATTTTACAAAAAGTTAAATATTTAATTATGTTAACATATTTTTACCAATTATAGAAATATTTCAAAAGTGTTTACATGCTGTATCAAAATAATTAACTTCAAACAGTTAAAATAACTAGATATGTATTTCTATGTGATTAATTTAATATTTCAGCACCGTGAACGCAATTCAATTTTAATTTAATTTTATTGTACTGAATTATATTTGATTTAATTAAATTTTGAATTTGATTTATCACATAAGTTTTGGTAAACTCGTATAAAATGCGTGAAGTGGAATAGAAAAAAGTAAGTGCATGCAGTTATGTAGAAATCAATCATTTCCGATCCCACTTTCTTGAAGCTGTCTATGATGAATGTTCCTTTGAAAAAATGGAAGAGCTAAGTAAGGGTACATTTAATGAAATTATTTACAGAAAAGGTTTACTAAAAAGATCGATTAAAAAGTAAATAAAGAAATATGTCAAGTTACGATTACTGATTAAGGACAGGTGAAACGTTCCACGATAAAATAATTAAATTTTTTCCCCAATATTTTGCAATTGACATTGAAGAATTATTTTTACATAATTACATGTTTTCACAAGACATCAAGGTACCTTACCAGGCATTTGTGTTAGATACCAGAGGTTGGCATTTCTTATATACCGGGGTAATCCGTCAGGAAAAAAAAAATACTTCAGTTGGTTTGTCAAAATTACATTTTTAGTGTTTCAAGTTTTTAAATACAAGTTTATAGAAAGTGATAAAGATTTTGTTTTAATATGAATTAATATATTAATATAAACTGGTCAGATTAGAATCATTCATCGAATTGGCTGGGGGTTAAATATTATAATGCTAATACTTTACTATTAATAGTGAATATTGTTTGTTTCTTTTTAATTTATTAAAATATTATTTTTATTATTGGGGGTGGGTGGGTTGTTTTTCATTTTTCCCTGAGACCCCCCCCCCCCCCCCCCCCCACACACACACACAAAAATAACGCTTTTGAAAAAGTCACTATGGTCGGCCTGTGTAATTAGGGACACCTGTCCTCACGTGCCATTTCAGGTGGAGACACGTGCCGCGAAGACACCTGTCACTGTGTATTTTTTGTATATTCTGTGTGAATTGAGACGGTTTTGTACCTAAAGGGAACAATAGGCTGTTGTCGAGCATATACACACACAGACTCCGACCGAAAATCCCTTTGAATTAAGATGATGATTCGTGTTTCTTTTATCATTTAAAAAATTGTATATTCCATAAATAAAGTTATACAAGAGAACATATTTATAAAATAACCTTCATTTAAGAAGTTCAATGAAAGAACAAACTATTTAGAATTTTTATTTCAATTTTCATTACTGATTTGAAATAAAACTATCCTCTTTAGAAATTAAATAATTTTCTATAGGTATTGTCTATATTGAATAGATCTTAATTCTCGTTGTGCATAATTATATTAAATCAGAATGACGTTAATAGATCAATGTGGAAATCAAAACTGTATTTAATATTGTTGATGGGTTTTTGTGTGAAATTTGTAATCTTAACGTACCACATAGACATTTATTAGATAAATGCTTATAATATAATTCATCACATAAAACTTTTTTTCCCCTTTTTTTTGCTTAAATATGTACGCAGATCCCCGTGTAGTAAACGCCTGCACTTTTCGCAAGAAATTACAATGTAGGGTCCTAAATGCACATACATTATATTTAACAAACTTTTTTCAGCCATTTCTTTTCTCCAAAGGCCATTGCTTTAGATAAAGAAAAGTCTATAATATTTTGCATGATTTTGTTTTTCTTAAGAACAACGGCTTTTAAAATAGTACATGCTACTAAAGGCAATCTATTAAAAGAATTAATTGTATAATTAATTCATTGTATAATTGTAACAGTTGTATTTTTGTTCAGTTTTTGTTGATTTCATTCTATAAAGGTATGAAGTTTGTCAATACTTCAACAAACATTTCTTTATCTGTGTTGTGCACTACTTTATTTTTATTCGCCGACATGCTACTCTTTTTAAAAAAAAACTTGGGTGACTAATAGACTCGATCTTCAGGCCTGTAGGAAAGTAATTTCCGTTAGAGTAATAAAGTAACCGGATTTTATTTTTACTAACATACCTTACCAGATTTCTTAACGAAAAAAAAAAAACATTATAGAAATACAGGGCGGGACCAGCTAAAGCTGTATGCATAAGCACAGTCCTGCACATCAACGAGTATAGATGACTTTCGACATAATCTTTCCCATGACTTTACTTATACCAATCACGACTAAAATACTGAATTAAAATACTGTTAAATTTTCCTGCCTTTGATCATGTTGATAAGATGTTAGTTTTGTTCCGCCTAGAGATATAACTCTCCTAAGAAAAAGGTTTTCAACATTCTGATTCATTTAACAATTTTACGTGTTAAAATTATGTGGGAATTTTTTTTTTTAGCTTTTTTCCGTGTTAAAATGATGTGGGAATTTTTTTTAACTAAAGGCCAAGGAGTTTAAAGTACAATGTACATGTTGCAATTAGAGAAAAGTCGAGCAGGTCCACCAGTAATATTGATACCATACACAAAATCTAATTAAACCCCAAAAAGGAGGGAGTTCAATTAGTAATTTAACCCCCCCCCCCAAAAAAAAACACAACAATCTATTAGCAATGAACTATTAATCACCGAACTTTTCAATCATCACTATTGAAATAAAAAAAAATGTTCTTGATAATCATATTATAATTGTAACTAATTTTCATGCCTGTGGAAAGTTCACAATAAAAAAAGTGCTTTTAAAAATTTAACATCTTTTGGTGTGACATTATAAATTCATAATCATACATGTAACAGTTAAAAGAAGCGGGGAGAGGGGGTTACTTTCAGCAAGGACGGCCACTACCAACAACCAAGCCCCGAAACCCATATCCCGAAGGCAAATATATAAGTTGAGGTGTCAAGCAAGAAACAATTTTTTTCTGCTCTTGCATCATGTATTTAACCGCTTTTTTCTAAATATACAGTACTAGGCCTACAAATCATATCGGCAAAAATATTTAGGAGCCGCTCTTTTTATTCCATGAAAAGCGGAAAACTTAATTGAATTCTAATATGAGATCTCATAATCACACTTAATCATAGTGAATGAAAACAGTTTATATTTCCCATCCTGCATCGCTCTCTGGGCGCTTTATTTCATTGGTCAATTTCCCGAGGCGCCATTTTTGGAGGATCGAGAAGGACGAAGAAGAAGGTGTAAGCAGCTGGTAAATGTGAAAAGTTAAGATGATTTCACCACCCAGTGTCTTTAAGACTGTGATAAATGCAATGAACAACGATGAAGGATTAGTGTACGTATATTTTTGTTAACTTTTTACGGTAAATAGATGTAATATTTAGCAACAACAAATATTCACTATCGGAGGCAACTTTTGTTCTGACGCCATTTTGAAAAGTTGGATACCTAAGTTTTAAATTGTTAAGTGTATATATTGCAGAGAGAAGGAGAGAGAGAGAGAGAGAGAGAGAGAGAGAAGAAAAAATTGAGACAGTGATATAGCATAACTTTGATTATGAAGGCCCAAAAGGCACCGTGCATGTACATGCTGTATGTTGTAAAATGGCAACGTTTCGCTTTTTATCACGCTTATTAAAATGTATGCTCCATATATATGTTCTATCTCTCTATATAAATGAATTCTTTTCGGAATTAAAAAAAAATATATTTTTAACCCCGCTCAAATTATCCGGATGATAATAGTTACACCGAGCATGGTTTCGTAGTTAAGTTCAGACTGTAGAACATCCGGTTTGAATACATGTGTTTTCTGACTTTTCGTAGCTATTCCACCCGACGCCATCTTATCTAAATATAGTAACTAACCGGAAGGCACGAGATCCATGTTTTCACGTTTGTGATAGACGACAGTCTCATCTGAGGATTGAGGTAAGTAATTTATTGGGTCTACGTGTGATTGAAATGTCTGACATTGCAATTCAAGAATAAAGATCGTTTTGTTTAGCATTTGTATTGATAATATATTCTTGAAATGGCGATAATATTGGTAAAAGCAAAAAATTTCAAGTAAGACTATGCCTTGTCAACATATGAGAGAATTAGTATTTTTAATGAAAGTCTGTATAAAGTTTAGCTTAAGTAATATTAAGTTGCGTGGAATGATTGCTTATTACCTGTTATTTATTATTGATGTAATTAAATTATTATTATAGTTCTCACTTTTTCACATTCTTTTTTAAAAAGCTGGTGTACTGTTAAACGATCAAATACACTGTAAATAGATTATCTGCCCTTGTTATAGTTTGTTTCAGAAAAAAATCAGTGTGTACATATGATAAAAATTATATACATAAAAATTAATAATACGATGTTATAAGACATTTCAATTAAGGTCTAGCTGCTGAAACAGGTTCATCATAATATGTAT